TAAACCCTGGAGAGCTGCTGCCAGTCAGTGTCAAAAATGCTAAGGTAGATGAACCCGGGATCTCACTCAATGGAAGGCAACTTCCAGCTTGTTTTCTCGTGCTCCGGAGGGTAGGACCTGAACTAGTGGATTTAAGGTACAAGAAAGGAGATTCCGACTAGAACTTTCTGATGGGAAGAGTTGTTCGACAGTGGGACGGACTCCCACAAGAGGTGGTGGACTCCCTTCCTTGGAGGTTTAAAAGCAGAGGTTGGGTGGCCATCTGTCATGGATGCTTTAGGTGACATCCCTGCATTTTGTTGTTGTTGTTGTTTAGTCATTTAGTCATATCCGACTCTTCGTGACCCCATGGACCAGAGCACGCCAGGCACTCCTGTCTTCCACTGCCTCCCGCAGTTTGGTCAAACTCATGCTGGTAGCTTCGAGAACACTGTCCAACCATCTCATCCTCTGTCGTCCCCTTCTCCTTGTGCCCTCCATCTTTCCCAACATCAGGGTCTTTTCCAGGGAGTCTTCTCTTCTCATGAGGTGGGCCTCAGCTTCACTATCTGTCCTTCCAGTGACCGATCAGGGCTGATTTCCTTAAGAATGGATAGGTTTGATCTTCTTGCAGTCCATGGGACTCTTCATCTTGGGTGCCCTGCTTGGCACAGTTCATAGCTTCTCTGAGTTATTCAAGCCCCTTCGGCACGGCAAGGCAGTGATCCATGAAGGGGCATCCCTGCATTGGTCCCATCCAACTCTATGATTCTGTATTTCCATCTGTGTTGGCTCTTGGTTGGCTGCAAGACAACATCCACAGGGCCCCTCCTTCACTGAGCCTGCCTCCTCCCTCCAAGTGTGTCTTGCCAATGGGCTGTCACACGCCCGGCTATGCCACCCTTGATTTCTGGATTCCAATGAATCACACGCCAACTGTTCTTTCTTGCTGCCACGGTACGGTAGGATCTCTCCAAGCAACCGTGCGTGACAGCACAGGCTGGCTCCTGTCCCTTTGGCATAAAGCCCCCGGCCCCTGCTTGGCGTGCCAGGAAATAAGGAGGTTTGATGCTCCTAACGTCTGCGAAACAAAGAGGGTCTGTTGGCACTTATCGCCACTGGAATCATGTTGCATCCGTATCACCTGCACTGATAGGATTATTTGGCTGTTGTTATGTACGCTTCATAATTCAATAACAAAACCTGTGCTGCCCCAGGGGTGGTGGATAATACTCAAAGATTATTGGGCTGGATTAGCGTTCGCCTTTTATGAATTGGAAACTCCGAGAGTCCACAGAGCAATCAGCGAGGGGAGAGACAGATGCAGCTAAGATCCAAGAGTGCTCGGCAGATGTTGTGCTGGACTTTTGCATGGGGAAATGCCTGCCAGTGTCCTCAGACGTTGGGCCCTGCAGCCAGGTGGAAGTGCACTGGGGAGAAGGAACACCCAAGGAACTAAGTTTGCTTTTTCTCCTCTTCAGCCAGAGGACAGACAAAAGGAATCAGTTCTTCAGATAACGCATGAACTAGAGAATTCACTCCAACATAACGGTAGCAATGACCACCAACTTGGAGGCAGTGCGGTGTAGTGGTTAGAGCGCTGAACTGGGACCTGGGAGATTGGGTTTCAAATCTCCACTGGATCACGAAGGTCACTGGGTAACCTTGGGCCAGGCACCGCCTTTCAGCCTAACCTACCTCACAGGGTTGTTGTGAGAATAAAACGAGGATGGGGAGAACCATGTTGGCCACCTTGAGCTGCTTTGATGGAAAAAAAAGCTGGGATATGAACACATTAAGCAAACAAACAAAGGCTTCCTTCTAATCTCAGGTGTGCAGGGATTCCTAAGAGGAAAGCAGGGCTGGGGAACCTGGGCATCCCCAGATGTTGTTGGATTCCATTTCCCATCAGGCTCTGCAAGTGCGGGCAATGCTTATGCATGATAGGTGCTGTAGTCCAGCACAGGGGGAACTGCAGTTCAGTGCAGCAAGCTGCCTGCTGCCTGTCTGCTGACTGTGACAGCCCCAGCCATGAGCTGTTCAAAATAAGCAATTTGTGCGGAAATTATGTCTTTCCACTATATTAGCCACAAAACAAAACACTCCCTTGGCTTTTAACTCAATGCAAGGCAGTCTGCTGCAGTTGATGGAGCAAGGCATCCAACAGACTGGGTAGTGCAGGGTTAGGGAACATGTGGCCTTCTAGATGCAAACCCATGTGCATTTTCACAAACAGACACTGCAGATCAGGAATTTCCTGCTCCTAGCCTGCTGGAGACCCATGGAAAGGGGTTGGAATTTATTTATTTTTTTCTAAAAGAGAGGAAAATGTCAGCAGCCCACCCTAACAAAACTGTAATAAGGCACATTCAAAAGGCAAAAGAAGAGGGTCAGGGATTTACTAGGAATCTAGATTTACTAGGGTTTACTTGACTGGAAAACAGGGTCCATCCTTGGTGAACAGGAACTGTCCAAGCACATAGTGACATGCAGTGATAGCTCATGGTCCCCTGCGGAGTTCCTTATGCAAGCCTGGCTGAAACGAATTGGCAACTACATCAGTGTAACAGCTGCTTCCTCTTGATGCTTACATACTGGTGGATATCATAGAATTATGGAATTGCAGAGTTGGCAGGGACCACCGGGGTCATCTAGTCCAACCCCCTGAAATGCAGGAATCTTTTGCCCAATGCAGGGCTCGAGCCGAGGACTCTGAGATTAAGAGTCTCCTGCTCTGTCCTCCGTAGTGGTATGGATGCTCTCTGATCTATGTATTCGGAGACTGACCCTGGAGCTTTTCTGCAGGTGCTTACCACAGAGCTACAAAATGAGTCTATGGTCTGATCTGGCATGGCTCACTTCATGCCTCTATGTTCACCAGCCTTTCAGACCACTGCCTGACTGTTAAATATACTTCTCCGCCCTTGTGGGCTGCTGTCGCCTCCACCCACCCACCCCAAACAGCTGGGAACTCTGTGTAGGAAGCAGGAGACCTGTGTTAGACAACGGGATCAATGAGTCAGGACAGATGTTGCCAGCCTGAACAATCGCTCTGGACAGGGAGGTGGTGATCAGTATCATTAAAAAATAAAGAGCTGAAAGATTTGGGAAAACAGGCTCTGAAAAGCAGCAGGCCGCCTAACACACAAGAAGCAATTTCGAGACGGCGCGGCAGGGGGAATTGAGAGCGACAGATCAAAACATCGAGCTGGGAAAATAATGGGTTTTTGCTTCTAATGACTGCAGAATTACTCTATAGTCAAGACAGAGGAACCAGGCAGAGGTGAGGGACCAGCAGAGTAAAGATTTGGAGCAGTGGAACAACGAACAAAGCAACTGCTGTATCACGGGGAGAAGCGGGGACTGGGGGGGGGCGGAGAGAATTTCGGTTCAGTTCACATGTAAAAGCGAACCTATCCAATTTGCGTTTTCTGATACAGTACAGGAATGAAAGCACCAATGGAATTTTGCAATGCCCTTCTCCAGGCAGGTAATGTATACAAAAAGAGGTATATTGGAGTAAAGCGTGTTTTTATCTTGCATTTTTATGCTGTGCACAGTCTTGAGATCTAAAGATGTAGGGTGGTATACAAATGTAATAAAGAATAATAATAAAATGCATACCTGAGTGAAAATATCAGACAAGAATAAACACCGTTAGAGGATATTTGTTTGCAAAGGCATGTATACAGTGGTACCTTGGGTTAAGTACTTAATTCGTTCTGGAGGTCCGTTCTTAACCTGAAACTGTTCTTAAACTGAAGCACCACTTTAGCTAATGGGGCCTCCCGCTGCTGCCGTAGCACAATTTCTGTTCTCATCCTGAAGCAAAGTTCTTAACTTGAAGCGTCTGTAAACTGAAGTGTCTGTAACCCAAGGTACCACTGTATTAGGCAAAACTGCATGCAGCCACATTTATTAGGAGAAATTTTCATTAAAAGGTTGATGAATCTTCATGCGGACTTAAAAAATAATAACAAACTGATGTGGAAACGTGGAATTGAACCTAAGATTGGAAAAAGTAGGAAGTAAGATGAGCTGAAATGGACAGATTCATCCAATCCGTGGCCTAGGGGCCATTACAAATCCCCCCCCCCAACAGTTGTATTTTACCATTTCCCAGATAGAACTTTACTAACTTACCCTATCCTGAAAACCTGACTTAATCTCAAATTTATGACTCACTTATTTAGTTTTATTACATTTATATCTCACTTTTCCTGTAAGGAACTCAAGTTGGCCTACACGGTTCTCCCCTCCCTCTTGTATCATTACAACAGTAGGTTAGGCTGAGAGAGTGCAACTGGCCCAAGGTCATGGAATGAGCATCATGGCCTTTGAGTAGGGATTTGAACCCTGGTCTCTCCTAGATCTTAGTCCGACACTCCAACCGCTACATTATACTGGCCCTGATTCAATCTGGTATGCACATGAACACCTGATATGCTTGCAGGCTGATTCATGCATCGGAAAGTTTTTCTTCAGCATGGTGCCATGGTTTTAGGAACACAGGAAGCTGTCAGGTCCTGACTGAGGCCATTGGTTAATCTAGCTCAGTCTTGTCGACTGGCAATTGGTCTCTGGGCTTTCAGACAAGGGTTTTCCTCAGCCCTACCTGGAAATGCCAGGGACTGAACCTTCTTCATGCAAAGCAGATGCTCTTCGACTGAGCTACTGCTTTCTCCAAAAGGAAAATGGGAAACTTCCTATTGGAGGAACGTAAGAAGCTGCCTCAAAACAAATCCACCTCTTTTCCCCTTTTCTTCCCAATGTCTCAACAAATGAAACTGATTTGTAAAAATGTTACGTGGGGGAAAAAATACGAGAGAGAGAGACATTGCACACACTTTTGTAAATCAAGAAAATCTTTAATAAAAAAACAAACAAACAGATCAGATCATTGGTTCATCAAACTCAGTATTGTCTCCACTGACGGGTGTGTGTGTGTGTCTCCAGGGGTTCAGGCTGGAGTCTTTCTCAGCCTTACCTGGAGATGCTGGGACTGAACGTGGCACTTATAAGGCTGGGATAGCTCAGCTGGTAAAGCATGAGACTGCTAACCCCAGGGTCATGGGTTCGAATCCTGAATTGGGCAAAAGATTCCTGCATTTCAGGGGGTTGCACTAGATGGCCCTCCTGGTCCCTTCCAACTAGACAATTCTGTGATTCTGCATACAAAGCATGTGTTCTACCAATGATCCTCAGCCTTCTTTTTGGGGGCTGGGGGGTGGGGAGGAGAGTTAGGAGTGCAGCTTCTGACCACAGACACTGCCCTTTAAGTAAGAACATGAGAAGAGGCCTTTTGGATCAGGCCAAAGGTCCACCTGGTCGAGCATCCTGTTTTTCACAGCGGTCAACCAGATGTCTTTTTGGAAGGACAAAGTAGTGAATTTCGTCGTCTCCCTGTGTGCTGAATGAAGAAGCCCTTTTTCTCTTGTCTGGCCTGAACAAAATGCTTTGGGGGAGCTTGCAAACAGAGGAGACTGCTTTTCTCTCCACTCCACCCCCTTACAAATAGAAATGCATCCTGAGTAAAATGTTTACGTTTTGAAATATTGAGTTCAACTCCAAAATAATCCCACATATGCCAGTTTTCCTAAAAATGCGTGAACAGTGTTGACGCGGGTTGGAACACAGTCAAGAAATTCCTCCACGTTTTCCAGGCATTGTAGGTTTTTGCATTTGAGCAAGGCGCACATTCTTTCAAGCATTAAATATGTGTTAGAATGCCGAATTACAAGCTTCCCAAATGAGGTTCAAGGTTTCAGTTTATTCTCCACCCCACCTTCTCCAAAACCAGCTTTCCCTTCCCTCCCGGCTGAGCCAGAATCTCAATCAACAGATGTGTTTGGAATGAGATACATTACCCAGAGGAAATTTTGGCTGAGGGGCTAAACTGTGTGTCATATTCAGTCAGCTCACACACACGCCCGACAACAGCAGGCAGCTGGTCCCTCGAAGACAAGCAACGCGCTGGCTGGGAATGATGAGATCTCAGCATCATCTCTCCACGGAGAGCAAAAGGAGGGTGGAGAGACGGATTGCTCCGTTGTCTGATGCAGAAAATGACGGGGTCAGAAGGGAGAGAGGCAGAGGGAGGCAAGGCTGGGAACAGCTCTGCACATTTCGCCGCACAATGCAGCTGCACCGCAAGATGCACCCCGGGATCGTCTGTGACGTCACCAGGAGGGAAGGGAGGCTGCAAACGTCGGGTCCCTTGCTTGTGGCATCGTAGGCTGCAGGTCCACAACACAGCCCCTGTGTTGTCTGTGGGGTTCAATCTCCCCACAGCACCTCCAAGCAGAGCCGAGAGACAGAGAGTCGGAAACCCCAAAGGACTGCTGGCCAGTGATTGTAGACCAGTGATCCTCAAACCCAGGTCCCCAGCTATTGCTGGACTATACAGTGGTACCTTGGGTTAAGTACTTAATTCGTTCCGGAGGTCCGTTCTTAACCTGAAACTGTTCTTAACCTGAAGCACCACTTTAGCTAATGAGGTCTCCTGCTGGTGCCGCGCCGCCAGAGCACAATTTCTGTTCTCATCCTGAAGCAAAGTTCTTAACCTGAAGCACTATTTCTGGGTTAGCGGAGTCTGTAACCTGAAGCGTATGTAACCTGAAGCGTATGTAACCCGAGGTACCACTGTAACTCCTATCATTCCTACCTAGCAGGACCAGGGGAGTGATTCCTCCATGAATTTGTCCAATCTTCTTTTAAAGCCATCCCTATATATGTGGCCATCTTGTGGGAGTGAGTTCCGCAGGATAACTGACATATATTTGTATCTTGCTTTTCCACCTGCAAGCTCAAGGCTGTGTACGTTTTCTTCTCTCCCCCACCCCTCTTTGTGAGGTAGGCTAGACTACTTTAATAGATGTACACAGGCAGCAGTTCATGTCAATAATTTTTGTGTGTGTGTGTGTGTGTGTGTGGAATGTAGAGGCCCCAATCTGCATACAGTGTAACTAACCAGGATATTCTGTTGGTATCCCTGGAGTCTAAACCCTTAGACCAGGGCTCTAACATTGACACAACTCCTAGTAAACCAAAGTCTGAACTCTTATTTTTTGGAATTGCTACAGATCCTTTTGACCAAATAAATTCACCTCCAACTTTGCATCAGAAAGAAGCTGGTAGCTAGTAAAAGACTTGAAAGGTCCCACCTGCCCAGCCCCAAGAACTGCTGTCCATATTTTAATCAGATCCTTTAAAAAAATCTGCAGAGATATTTCACCTGAACGGAACTTTTGCAGAAGTCCTGAGCAAAGCACACAGGGTAAAGTATTTGGATGAGTATATAGCTCCCCTTTCCTATATATATAAAAATGTGAGCAACGGGCTTTCTTTGTGACAATCAATGGAAAACATTTGTATGGATATATTTGTATCTATCCATGTAACTGTCCCGTTGATGGACATGTGGCAACATCCATGACACAATCTGACTTCCAGCCAAAGCCCACCGCTGAGTGCCTGTCACTTCCATTGCTCATCTCTGCCTTCTTCATGGACTCCAATGGCCTTGACAAATAATTGCCTAGACAGGCTGACAATCAGAAGCAAAACGTCTCAGCCAGAACCAAACAAACCAGAGGCACAATCCATTGAGAGCCTTTCCTTGCAAACATCCGACCAGCAGTCTCAAGGAAGGCTTGCACCCCACTGCCTTTCATCTGAATTTCATCCTTCACCTTTTGCAGTTCAGAGTCAAGCAAGCCATTTTGACGTGGCTGAAAACACCACAGGTCCGATGGACACAGGTCTCTGGGCCTCTGTCCATTGGGTCTTGGGTGCCTCTGAGACCATTTATTTTGTTCTTATCATTGGTGTTCCATAATGTGTTTTTAATGCTGGAGATTGCCCTCCTCGGATCTTCTGAGAAAGGGTGGTATATAAATGGAAATAATAATAATAATAATAATAATAATAATAGTTCCTCAACCAGCACCCCTCACAAACCCTGCTCCGCACCCTCCTTGGCTGCTTTGGCTTGGCTGGGATCGATCTATTTCATGAAAGTTATATGTCCCTTGATTGAAAAACAAAACAAAGCGGTTTTACGAAAATAACAAAATAATGGATAAGAGCATTTAAAGATAGCTATTTACAACATTCAGAAATAACTGAAATCAATTATAAGCTAAAAACAGATTAAAACGCATGTCAGCATTCATGGGAAGGCTCACGCAGCAAAAATGTTTTTAGCAAGCACTGAAAATAGTACAGTGGTACCTCGAGTTACAGATGCTTCAGGTTACATACGCTTCAGGTTACAGACTCTGCTAACCCAGAAATAGTACCTCAGGTTAAGAACTTTGCTTCAGGATGAGAACAGAAATCGCGCGGCGGCGGCGGCATGGCAGCAGCAGGAGGCCCCATTAGCTAAGAACAGGTTAAGAACAGTTTCAAGTTAAGAATGGACCTCCGGAACGAATTAAGTACGTAACCAGAGGTACCACTGTACAGTGAAGGCACCTGCCAGATGTCAATAGACAGGGAGTTCCAAAGTGTTGGAACTGCCACACTAAAAGATGGATTTCTTGAAAATGCAGAACATGAATTATGTGGCAGTTTTGCAGATTGAAGTAGCCGAGTACATGGGGTCAGGCAATCTTGCAAGTAAACTGGTCCCAGGTTGTTTAGGGCTTTATATACCACGAGTAACACTTTAAACTTGGCCCAGAAGCAAATGAGCAACCAGTGAAGATCTCTGAGCTGAGGCGTTAAGATGCTGACAGGGTCTCATGCACAAAAGTGGGCCAAGAAACAAATGGGGAGGGACGGACGACAAAACATGCTTTTGTTATTTTCTTTATGTTTTGAAAGCTCACGTTCATGCAAATGAACACCCAACCCTGCTCCCCAAGTAAGCATGGTCAATATAATCCAATGAATCAAAGTACCCATTCTTTATGCTCTTAGCCCAGGCATCCCCAAACTCAGCCCTCCAGATGTTTTGGGACTACAACTCCCATCATCCCTAGCTAACAGGACCAGTGGTCAGGGATGATGGGAATTGTAGTCCCAAAAACATCTGGAGGGCTGAGTTTGGGGATGCCTGTCTTAACTTAATAGGTCTGTCCAGGTTCCTGCAACAGGCTGTTTCTCCAAATAGCTCTCTCACATCTCTGTATCCTCCATCCAAGCAAGTAAAGCACCTCAGCAGAGTCGAAGGACATCTTCCAGCCAGGCATAACCACTCAAGGAGGGTGTGAAGCAGCTCCAGAGAGAGGTGTGGACTGGAGAAAGTCCATAGGGCCAGATGGAGAGACCTGGAGGGCCACATTTGACACCACCACCCCGCCCCGCCTGAGGTTCCTCACCCCTGGCATTGATATTTGAGCATCATTTGCACAGCCCAGCAGGCACGGAAGATGGGAAATCGAGGCAAAGTGGGAGATGCCACAGCCACCTAAATTTGATTCAGAGTAGACCTATTGAACCTTTTATTGAGGGTGAAAGAGGAGAGCGCAAAATATGGTCTGAAGCTCAACATCAAAAAAACGAAGATCATGGCCACTGGTCCCTTCACCTCCTGGCAAATAGAAGGGGAAGAAATGGAGGCAGTGAGAGATTTTACTTTCTTGGGCTCCATAATCACTGCAGATGGTGACAGCAGCCATGAAATTAAAAGATGCCTGCTTCTTGGGAGAAAAGCAATGACAAACCTAGACAGCATCTTAAAAAGTAGAGACATCACCTTGCCAACAAAGGTCCGTAGAGTAAAAGCTATGGTTTTCCCAGTAGTGATGTATGGAAGTGAAAGCTGGACCATAAAAGAAGGCTGATCGCCGAAGAATTGATGCTTTTGAATTATGGTGCTGGAGGAGACTCTTGAGAGTCCCATGGACTGCAAGAAGATCAAACCTATCAATTCTTAAGGAAATCAGCCCTGAGTGCTCACTGGAAGGACAGATCATGAAGATGAGGCTCCAGTACTTTGGCCACCTCATGAGAAGAGAAGACTCCCTGGAAAAGACCCTGATGTTGGGAAAGATGGAGGGCACAAGGAGAAGGGGATGACAGAGGACGAGATGGTTGGACAGTGTTCTCGAAGCTACCAGCATGAGTTTGACCAAACTGCGGGAGGCAGTG